TATATATATATACACCGCTTAGCTAAGCAATGTTTAACTGTCTGAAATGACCTCAGTTATTGAAGCTACAGAGATGAAGAAAGACAGTAAAGCAGTTTTGACTTACTGCTGACTTGGCAGAAAAACGGTTGAGTTTTTTATTTTATTTTAGTGTTTTCTCTGGAAAGATTCCGATCTACTGTACCTCTCCTGGGGCCAACAAAGTTTCCTCACATTAACCTGAGCTTACAAAATATACTGTAGTTTTGAACCAAATATCTCCAATCCATCATATTACCTCATAACTGATGCTGATTCCCAATGTACGGTATTATTAGGTTGACTGGCTCCTTGTGGTTTCCAAAATTAGATTCTGGCATCACCAAAATGTCTTTTGGCCTGCATCATATTGGCATTGTGTCAACGTCCAGCCTGCATACATTATACTATCTTTTTCTTTTTTCGCTCACTTTTGAAATGCTTCTGTGTTTTAGGGTTTACATGTTTCTAACAACCTTGATTAATCCATTTTCTGACAGGTAAACTCCTGCAATTTTACAAACAAAAATGCAAAAAAAAGGCAAAAAAAAAAAGAACTTGCAAAAGCTTTGTTATCTAGTAAAATATTAAAATGAATCACTTTTTACACTTGGATCAATTGTTTGTGTCTAATCATCTTCCAATTATCAAAACCTTATACATGTTTGACTTATCACCATTCAAAGGTACATTATGTGTACTGTCTCTCACACCTGCTTAAACATTTATATTTTAGTATCTAATACTAGAATATTTTCAGAGAAAATTTCTCACTCAGAATAAGCTGGACACAATTTGTTCCCATGTTTGATTTTTTTTATGTTACTGTGCAGCTTCTCTTTTCAAGCTCAGTCTGTTCATAAAGTTCCTGTTAATACTGTACGACAACACAAAAGAAAATAAACAAACAATCAATATCAACTTTTCTTTTTCCAGAAAAGGAGCCTTACCGTGTGAGCAACATTTTAGAAAATGATCCACCATTGCTTTCTAAGAACATGAGGTTTAATACCACTAATACAACCACAGCAGTGTAGCAGTAAATTCTTTGCTTGTTTATGTTCTCTTTAAAGTTTAAAGTTTAAAGTGTGCCTCTTGGCAAATTAATCTTCTTGACACCCCCAGGCCGCTTGAGATAAAAAGCCTGTGTGTGAGTGAGCGTGTGAAAACAGAAAGAAGCAAATTCAGAATTTTGCAGCTGTAAATAAAACAAAAAATAATTATATTAGCTCATAAAGTCAGGACAGCTCACAGACAGAATGTGATAGAGAGCTTTAGGATTTCTTGAATTCCAAGTCAGATTAATGAGCCGTGAGAGTTTTAAGATGTTTCTCATGACCCGGAGTCATTGTTGATTTTAGGGCTGAATACAGATTGAGATTCAAGTGTTTAAAAGTCAATTTGAGGCCTGAGAAAAACCACACTGTCCTAASGACTCACAAAGGTACAACATGAAAAAAAGAGAGCTGCCAGCTCAATTTGACAAACAAAATTTATTGCACAGCAAAATCCTACTTCTTTTAAAATATTCCATTCGGAGCGATGGTAAGCAAACCATGCCTACCAGGACTATAAAAGGTCTGATGAGGCAGAMGCATGTGGAATGAAGGTCACCAGAGACGCAGCCTCAGCTGAGGTAAATGTCTGAGAATGAGGTGGAAACATTTTTTTGGTGGAAGAGAGGATCTGTACAGGCTGTTCAAACAACATACATCCAGTGTAGCCAAGTCAGAATAGATGGTCTGGAATGTTAGTGGTTTTATTAGTTGTTTCAACACCTAAACTTACATAACACCCCCCCCCCCCCAAAAAAAAAAAAAAAAAAAAAAAAAACAGAAAGAAGGGAAAAAAAGAGTGAAAAAAAAACTAATCAAAAACCGTGTTTGTCATCTCCTCAATGTTTGGTTTATTACATTTAATGGTCTTGTTTTTGGCTTATCTGGGCATAATAAAATCTCCAGCTTTGAGTGGGTTTTACACTTTGGTTAATACTTGTTTTTTTTTCCCATGCTGGTAATTAGGTCATTTTATGGGTTTCAGGACCAACAAGACATTTAGTCAATGAAGCAACAGCTGCATACTCACTTTTCTTTTTGTGTACGTCTGTGGGTGTGTGCTGCACAGAATGTGACAGTTCTCAGCTGGAGAAAAGTGGGAATTTGCCCATTCATTCTGGTCAGGCACTCGTGTTGGATGATCTTTTCTTGCCGTTTCCATTACAGGTCCTATGAGGTGCCTGACGGGGTTAAAATCAGTGTTCTGTGTAGCCCAGTCAAATTTTTCCACACCAAACTAATCAAATCTATTTTACAGTTCTTGCTTTTTGCACTGAGACACTGTCATTTTTAGACAGAAAAGTGTTGCCACAAAGTTGGAAGCACAATGTCCAAAGTGTTTTGGTATGCTGAYRCATTTGGATTGCCCATCTTTGGAGATAAGGGGCCTAGCATGAAAAAGAGCCCCCATATTATCCCTTCAACTTTATGTTGGTATAATGCAAAGTGATGATGTTTTGGTACCTGCCAAACCCAAACTGTCATTTGACCTCCAAACAGAGAAGCAAGATTTGTAATACCACAGAACACATTTCCATTGCTCCACAGAACAGTGTCGGTGTGCTTTACATCACTCCTTCTGACACATGACATTGCACTTGGTTACAGTATGTGAGGTTTGCGTGCAGCTGTTAGGCTGTGCCAGTGGAAGTTTAAAACTCTTCAACAGAGCATAGGCAACTTTGACGCACCATATGTCTCAGCAGTCCCTGACCCTACGTGGTCTTCCACATTTCCGCATTTCTTYGCTGAACTGCTCTTTCTTCCACTTTCTAATATCACTTCCAGAAGTGATTAMATTTCTCAAACCATCTCATTGCAAAGGTGGGATCCTTTAACAGTACCACGCTCATCACTGTGCTCATCAKAATAACACACTTCATATTTTATATGGCAATGGAGACAGGGCTGTGTGAAAACAAATTAACAAAAGGTGAGAAGTTATTTCGCTTGATTTAAGAAAAAATATAAAGTTAAAATATAAGTGTTAAAGCAGACATAAGATGGATAGAAAAAAATATGCTTTCATTTTAAAAGTTCTAGTTTGCTACCTCTGGTAACAAATGACTTTTTCCAGTAATGATRACAAATCTTCATGTATGATCCTGTTTGTGTTAAATACAGACAGTATAGAAATGTTTCTTGTGCTTATTAAAACTAAATCTCCATTTTTGAGTTTCAAGAGGAAAATTCATATTTATTAATAAGATACACACTCTACAGTTGAACACTGGATTTCACTAGGCCATACCTGCAGATTTTGTGCTTTGTGTTATTTGATAGCCTGAGCAGCTGCTTTATTTCACTTTATTTGCACATTTTACTCCAGATTGATAAAAAAGGGTGGTTTAGTGCTATTATTCCAATGATTAATGCTTTTTAATTTTCTAATCTTGTTTCCCCTGGAGTGATTCCACCTTTTGAGCTTTGAGAAGAATTGAAATTCTTACAATTTCTGATGTTGCCAGAAAGTATCTGTGCCGGTTTTCCTTGATGTCTAAAAATTCTCACTTGTGTATTAGAATAAGAGCACGATCCCAGTTGGAACGATTCTACTAAAAGAGCGATTGTTATGAGTTTAACCTGAAGAAAGGCTGCAGAATTAGAAGGTGGTTTAGACCAAATAATGTAAGTATTCAATGATATTTTGGGTTCAAGGAAGTTACTAGAATGTTCCAGAGGTTTTATTAATCACATGATGACTTTACCTTTTTGCCAAGTACACAATAATTTTTTACTATAAAAGGGGAAAATCTGCCCACTTTTATTTTTTTTGCTGTTTTTGTTTGTTTAGTTTAGAGTTTAAACTTAATCAAATAAGATAGATACTACATCTCAGTAAATTGRCAGCTTGTGCTCATGAATTTCTGAACTGCCCACCATGTCAAAATGGACTATTTGTGCATATATCTGCACAATATGATGGCATATTAATTTATTTGCTTTAACATATTCTCTTTGGGCAGCTGTGAAGATRTCTTTAAATAGGTTAAATAGAGTTTGGCTTATAYGAGCTGAAGGGATAGTTGAACCTRCAAGTTATGCATCGTAAAATCCTCCCACTCACCTTTCCGCTGTTTGCTTTTCTATGGTTTTGCCAGGTCTTCTCAGCTGAGACTTGACCTCTTCTCATCAGTTGCACATCACTGAGGACAAGAGAAAATCTGTGAAGTCTGTCATTACTGTCTTTAAATTGTCTCCTGTGTGTGACTCATTTACCTTTTAAACTGAAGTCTTTTTTACACCAAACAGAGCTTATTCTAATAAATGTTAGACCAAACACAACTTAACATCCATACTTAAATGTTTAGTTTAAAATTTGGTATTTAAGATAGAAGAATAAAATGTAAATTATTTTTTCTAAACTTAATGAAGAGAAAAAACTTGTCCAAAACAATGAYTGGAAAAATAAATAGGTTTAGTGCTGGGTATAAAATGCAATGCTAAAGCAGGGGCACTTTATGCTGTTAAATACGCTGAATGATGGTTATTATAAGATGCTGGCTTCAGAAAAATAAATCTGTTATTCAAAAAAGCCCATGTGTAATCTCCAGGTACTACCTCTCTTGTTCAAATATTCTTTCTGATTTTGATTAAACAAGACCAGAATCATCAGAGTACAAA